AGTAGTACGGGACAGTTTCGGCGGGCTGTTACTGGCCGACCTTGTCGAATGTAGCGATCGGTGATAAAAAAAAAAAAAACGGAGTAAATACTTAGACATATAAAATGGTGAGGGTTTCTCTCACAGGACCCTAGCAAGTGCTAAGATCATTTAGGTCGCTGCGACCAATTTGGCGTTAACACTTCTTGCCCATATGGTGCCTATTGGAAGCATGCTGGCTGCCACGAAATTTTTTCTCATTTACTTGGCTTTGACCGCGGAGCCAACGAAATCCTTTACCGCAATATCTATTTTAGCTAACCTAAGCTGCGCTATCATTAACGCTTACGCTAAACAAGATAAATGATAAGTTTAGCGTTTGGCTACTGATTAGTCGTGATAAGTTAGGCTATCTTTAGTTAAAGTTTCTAATTTCTACAAGTTAGAATGGGCCGCTAAGTTTGCCTATTTGAATGGTTTACGCTAATTTTCCTATGGGACCCCACGCGTGATTTGAGAGCTCGAAAACAAGGCAGCGTTTTGTTGATTTCGGTAAATTTAACATTAGAAACATCTAAATTATCTTCTATTTTATAAAGATATTGTGAAAAAGAAGGAATAGGACAGGATTTGCGTACTTCGTGATACATTTTTGCCAAATAATTTTGACGACCACCTCTCTTTCGTTCACCGGCACCGCTTTCACCGATCGGCAAAAGCAAAATCAAGAAAACTACCTCCTATGAGGAATAAACCATTATTACAAGTAAATGTCCTTTGTTTTCCCCTGACCCCAACGGGACGCTGGCATAGAACAGGTCATAGGGCTCCATCTACAGATATTGAAATTGCTTTATTTCGTCGCACCTGTAGTGCATTAAATATCGGTGACAACACCCCCGACTCTCTCAAAATATTCCAAATCACCGCACCGATCTGAAGCTCTGACATTATCTATACATTTCCTTTCATTAGGTAAAGTTTATGCCTCTGCCTGCATGGTCCGCTCCACATTCTCCAGTTCTATGAAATTATATAAGGCACTTTGACTCATTTCAAAACTCGAACACACCATTAGCGTTGTTACGATCCCCAAGATGGCAGCAGGGACAATGACAGACAGTTCAGTGCGAGAAGTTTTTGTTGTCGGTGACAATGATCGGTATCTAACTGTCACGCCTCCGGATAGTCTACGGATCCGCCGGTACTCACCATCATCAGAAAAGGTCCTTGGACCTTCAGAGAGTTGCGACTCGTGGACAACGATTGTCGCTTCTGCCCAAGTGTCTGTCGTGCAAATCGTCCATTGAACAAACATCAGTCAGTCATCATTTGGAAATAGTGCTGTCTATCACGGCCGCTACCCTTGCTGTTGTCGGCGATGCAGTTAGTTTTAATCTCGTGTATTGGGTCTATAGCATTGTTCGCTGGTACCTAGATATATCTTTTCTTTCATCCTTCGGCTTGAACCGAAGGCAAGAAACGCCGCCGTTTTGATATGTATAATCACTAAAGGACTATTCTATCGGGTCGCCCTCGTACCGTTCCGTTATACACAATAGCGTTAATCGCGTTATCGCGCGGATAGCGCTAATCATACACAGACGTTCTCATGGCCGCGTGCACAAGCACTATGATACAGAGATTTAATAGCAGATAGAAAAATAGATATTATTATTACTATATTCTAATAATATGATTTTTTTTCTAGAAAAAAATAAGAAGGAAAAAAATCTAAGAACTTACCTGTTCTTCTGCTCGCCTATTTACTGACATTACAAACAAGAAGTGAAGTAAAAAAGGAAGACCTTCAGCAGTCGATCATCAGAGTTTTCTTCCTTGCACCTCTTTTGTGGTCCGCTTCATTGCCAACTTCTTCGGTTTCATCGCTCGAATTTCGACGATAGTATCTGTCGTCACGTTTCTTTCGGTATCCTTCGTTAGGCTGTTACATCGTCGTATAAGTGTTACTTTTTATACTGCTCTTCATGTATGTATATTGATGTTATCGTCGTTACCATGGGATAACTGGTAAGTTGCGAACAAAATCCACTATCCGCTTGCCATGTAATAGCCATATCGTGTAGAAGAAGGAAAAAGCGATACAAGTGTTGACTTCAAGTTTATCTCGAATAATATATAATAACTATGAAATTAGTATAACATTAATACATAACATAAGAGCTGATTTATTTACACGTTTCTTTCTATACTATATAGGCGATATTGTCGCCTAATCCCTTACACATGTAATTGATAAGGGATCAGCTTAAAACTTAGAGGAACTTTCTTTGTGCACGATGACCTTTTTAGATATTTATCAAAAGAGTGGCCCTATTTGGGCATGCTCTATTTATATTAAGAAAATTAGCTCTAAGTATGTGCCACTTTAACAACTAAACTGTTACTATACAATTAAATAGATCCGATTATGTACATCTGAAAATGACGCATAAACATTTTTAGCCTTAGAACCTTCGAATTGATGAACCATGCATTTGGTTGCCAAGTAAACAAAGTAAGCTCTCTTCGTTTGAGTCTATAGAAATGTTTCATTCTCCCTTAAACGAAAGACCCGTGCTATTCTAGTGCAGTTTGTTTGTTTATTAATTAATCTGTTATATAACTTTAAGGCATGAAGGGCTGCCTGTGCACCTATTTCATCAACTTTTTCAACAATTTTTTACGTTTATGGGCACCGATATTCTGAAGATTGACCTTAGAACGCTGCACTTTAGTGAGCTTCATTCGGCTTCCTCTCTAACACTCTCAACTGTCATTAGCTCGACAACCGAGTTCGTGCCCGTGGATTTGCTGAGTTTTCACTTAAGTGTGTTTATAATGTATTGCCGCCGCAGACTCACAACACAATCATGCGAAGCAACATATCGTATTGTTTAGATCGTTTATCGAAAATATCAGAACTAGGAGCGTTCCTTGGTCAGTTAAGATGATAGGGTTCGCAGCGAGATCACGTGAGGACACTGAAAACATTGTATCATCGCACTGTTTCGTGGCATCAGAGACCATATGAAATTCATTTGCTGGCTGATAATGGCATCCGGTTTATGCTCAGATCCCTGATTACAGTACAATGATTTTAGTAGTGCCGTCCAGGTTTGCTTACGCATAAAACATGACGTTTTCTAAACCCTGATACTTAACGACAAAATAAGACTTGCTGTAAACACGTTTATAGAAAAAGAAAGAGATAAATATATCGTGTGAGTGGTGTATAAACAAACATGTGAACAATGAGGAAGTTAAAAACAATGAACGAATAGCTTAAGGAAACTTCATTAACTTTTGTTGATAGCTGAAACTTAGTCATTATTCCTCTAGGCTGAAGCGATGTGCTACATCTGTTATATCCGCTTGGAATAGCGAAACAATTATTTCACTTTATAGCATGTCCTTTTGTGCTGTAGCATCTGTAGGCAACGACTAATGCCGCAAGCAACCAAAGTGACGAAGAAGTCTTTTATGCACTAAAAGCATAATAATTCTACATTTTACCTTTTCCGAAAAAATATTCGAACAGTTGTAGCAATTCTGTCATGTTCATATCTACGAAAGTTTTACGAAGTCCAAAATTGCTGCAAGCTTACTTCTAACGGTTCCTTGTTGTAAAAGCTGTTTTCGTGACAAAGAGAATGCCGTCATTTCTATCGGAGAGACTCGTCATCAAATTCGGAGCCGGCTGCTTATTGATAGAGTTTTCAGTACCCGTCTGTGTATTTCACCTGCAAAAGGCTACGTTCATGTTTCAAGCTGAATGGGTCCTAGTGGTTTGGGACACTTGGGCCTTTTGTTACTTGAAATTTTCTCTAAGGCTGTCAAACGCATGTGGCCTTAAGGGTTCTTATTCACTTACTTGTCATACAGTATCAAAATCTGATCTTTCTACATTAAAGGACGCAGCCGTTTGATCCGTCTTTTACCAGATCGCTTTGTACACGGTCAATGATTGCACTCGAATTTCTCGAAAAATCAAGATATGTAAATTAGAAAAAAAATCTTCCCGAGAGTGAAACCCTGTAAATTGACATCGACGAGTCTCAACAAGCCGCTAGAAATTATAGTAAGAACATTTACTATTACGTTGTGAAATAATGATCATAACAATGAAGTATACTGCACGCTTATAGTACTAGATAACCTGATCTATTTTCTTGTATCTGACAGCATGCGTAACCAAAAATGCCCCGCCAACTTCAGATAGCTAGCCCTTTTTTCCTTGATACTATCATAATCATCGGTGCAATTCAACGTCAGCAAAGCGCATTCTGTACGTAATAATTAATTTTTTGGGGCAGGTCGTTTTTGCGTGCTTTACTCATTGTTTTCTAATTCAAGAGCGTCCGCTGTGAAAATAGTGAAGAATTTCGCTGACCAGAATAGCGGGTAACATGTGGGATTATCCATTCCGAATCATATCGTCTTCCTCCTGCGACGTCTCCACCTTGACAGATGGTGCATTTCTGCCAGCTGCTTTGATCTGGCATCGTCTCTTTTATCACCACTATAATATCCCCTAACAAAATTATTATCTCGATCAACTCATTATTATTATTATTCATAAAAATCATCATCAATGTCGTCGCTGCCCGGCGACACTCGGTATCATCCAGGCATTAGCCATACGCTTGTGGTTATATGTATATCACAAACTAATGGGCCTACAACAGTCTAAAAGCCTTCCAGCGTATTCACGTTTCAGCCTCGCCAGCTGCCGCTCTCGCGCCTGCTGGACGCACCGACGACGCTGTTTGAGCCGTTGTTGTTGCTGCTGCTGCTGCTGCTGCGAGCGATGTCGATTGAGCTCTTGCCTTGGTGCGCCGTTCGATGGTGTTGGCCGTAGGCAGGTGGTTGTTGCTTCGTGGTGCATCGAAGTCACCCAAGCCCACAACAGGCGCCACTGCTGCCGCTGCGGCGGCAATCGGGCTTTCGCCGTTGTTGACGCTCTGCCTCCTCTTTCCTCGCATCGCGCACGGGAGACGATCGGCGAGAGCGAATTGTCCTGTGAGCGTTGTCCAAATTGATACGGCTCGCAGTCCGACCAAAGACGAATCTAACGGTGACGTTGAATCGGTGGCTTCGGCTGTCAGACGCGATCGCCCCCAGTTCGTGCCACGCCGTCGTTCGGAGGCCGGCAGCACACCCCTCCGATAGGCCGGCTATATTTTTGTTGTCCTTTTTTTGCCACAACGACACCAGCATGGGCCAGCAAGCGTAGGGCCACCGGGCCGACTCTCGGCCGCTCGTCCTGTTGCGTGTCGTGTTGTCCTGTGTTCGTTATGGGTGTTCTGCTGCCGCTCGTGATTTCGTTACGTGCCGTTTGTTTTGTTCACGTCTGTGGCTGATAAGTTTTCGTGGCCTGTACACTCGAAATACATTGCACGAGTCTACGTTAGCGTACTGTTCGTGCTGTGACGTGGGTGTTCGTCTAACGAACGTGCTCTCTTGTTCGGGCCCTCGGCCATCTCTGCTGTTGCAACCCATACTTTGTGCTTTGTGATAATCCTAAGCAAAGTAATTCTCACACTTTGCATTTTATCTAAGTGTTTAATTACCATCGTCGTTGATCTGGTTATTGCAATAATCATTTGTTACCCTACACAAGGATCATTAAAAATCGAACTACACAGCTTCAAGAACGCAGTGTACATTCCTGTACAGTGTCCTACCTCCATTTTAATGGTTATCTATACCACCATCGCGATCTATTCGGCCCAAACGTGATGATAGGTGAATTCTGACTTCTGCACGCAGTTGCCTAAAGTATGTTAGTTTGTTCTTATAATTACTTGTAATTAGCCTATCATTGTGTGAACTGTGTCATCCGTTCGCGTTGACTGCTTCAGGTAAAGATCTCTGTTGCTGTTCCCTTTCAAACGTCTTCTCTGTGCCTGGATGCCTATGTGCCATATTTGAGCATGATATCGTGCTGTCGGCGTGCATAAACTGTGTCACTGTTAAGTATTAACCTCCGTCCTATGGTGGGGTGTATGTGTGTGTTAACGTGTACGGCTTTTGCTAGAATAAACAAGGAACTTCCACCTGCCAGCTTCCCAGCTCAGTTTCCAGCAAAACACAACCTCGTGGCCTTCCAGGTTGTCCTACCTGGCTACCGTTGATTTCCTGTGCTACTGTGTCCATATCACCAAGGTTTTTTGTTCAGCGAATTTATTCAAAGCGTTCGAGATTCTTTCGAAAGAAGGCGGAAGGTGACGCGTCAGCGTGCAAACGGCGTAGTTTTCGATGCTGCTTTTAGCGTTCGCTAGTGTTATGCTTCGTACATGTCATTGTTGTTGTAGCTCTTATCGTAACTGTTGTGCCCCCTCAGCTGTCAGTCCCGTATCGGTACTTTCACCATACATTGGATTTAGTACGGACGTGCCTTTGTGCTACGACTATGTATGCCGCGTAGACTTACATGTGAAACCGTGACGTGTTGTCGTTCTTCAGTTCTAATTCGTTGGCGCTGTTTTGTGCTCGTGGTCTGTGCCGTGGCTGACTTGTCGACTTCATCCCGAGATGTAAAACCGATGCAACATGTGGTCCTCAATCGGCCTCAAACTCTGTGCCATGGTCGCTATCATCATTGGTAAGAGATGAGATTGGTTATACCGTATCGTGCAGCCGATTAGGCCTGTGTCCGTTCGACTTCAGAGTTGGAGGATGTCAGCCTGAAACCTGCTTTAAAAGGCACGAGGATTCTTAGTTAACCCGATTTACTTAATCGGGCATGTTCTGTGGTATATGTTAGAAAAGTGATAACATAGAGGCCGTGAAAAACAGTCAGAGATGGCCATAAAGGTGTTTTAGGAAAAGGACATTTAAAGGAGAGGACACAATGAAAGATGAATCATTGACTTTGAGGTTTATAGTCATATATATATGGTCCGCCATAAAAAACGTAAGATTTTAGAGAACAATAGTAGGAAAAGTTACTAGAGGTAAATAAAGGAGTCCGGTGAAATTCTCTTTGAAGATACTGAAAGTTTAGAATTTAATGAAAAATAACAAGTAAGTTGTCAATAAGAATATTAAAGCACATGATACTCTATATTTCCTAATAATTAAGTGTTTCGAGCGGAAGTGCGTTAGCTGAAGCAGAAGATCATGGTATGATATAGTGCATGATAGAAGCCCCGCTGCTAATCCAAGAAGATTGACTGGCATAGATAGTACTTTGTGTGACAAAATGATCATGATCGAAGCTGTAATTCGCACACTTGCAATATTTATCTATAGTTACAAGAAGAAATGTTGCGTTAAATAATAGAAAAATACATACTTTTCATTTCAGCGAAAGCTGATCCAAGTATAGCAAAGAACCTCACGCGATTTTATGACCTTCTTCACATTAACAATTTGTAAAAACAAAGGTCGCCAACCTGTAAATGTCTCAATTTAGCTACTCTAAAGGAGCAACAGTTATTTTTAATGGCTTAAGCATAAAAACTGCGGCTCAAACAGTTAGAATGTACCTGCAAACGTATTATTCCTTAATACAATTATAAAGAATAGAAGAAATTATTCGACACAGCCTGTGATTTGTCTTTCATTCAACTAACAGGTTGGCTGACGACGATGTACTGTGGTTTACTAGAAAATTGCATGATTTATATTTAAGCGCAGATATGTTTTTTCGTTTCGATATGCTTGCTTACTGTATCTGCGTTCAGCATTACAACCTTAAAGTAGAATTTTCTGTTAGGGTTTTCATCCACAGATGTACAACGTTTCCTCCTAAGCGTTTCAAGCCTCTAAGAAATCATCAGAAAGCACGTTTATGGCGGAAGCATTTTTTCATATCTACTTTACACATGGCTCCTTGTTACGTATCAGTAAAATTTAGAGTACTTTACGAGGAAGGCTTTGTGGTATAGGTCAATTTTTTTCCTTTATAACGCTGGCAATCTAAAGTGTGGATTATAAAAAAAGAAAAAAAGTCTTGTAGTTGTTGTAACCTAAAAATCAGGCATAAATTAATAATTTTCTTCGTGCAGGCCAATTTCGTAACATGACGCATCATATCATAACACTAGTGTTACCTCTTGTTATTCGACATAGAATATATTAAGGCTAGGGAGTGTAATAATATTAAGCTGCAGTGCAAATATTTTCTCATTTAAAAAAACGTTCGGCATACCCCAGTATACATACATAATAACCCACATTTCCACGTGCGTATATATACGCCTACGTCCGATAAGCTGGTATTCGTTTACCAATAAATCTTAATCTACTGGTATTCTTCAATTTTTTTTAACCTATTGCGAATCTAACGCTGAACCCACAAACACTTTTTGTGCGCGTCTCATATTAAAAAAAGCTTCTAATTCTATAATTAAACTTGCATCTTCTATGACATGGAGTTTGCTGTTGACGTGACAACGTTTAGGTACGTGAACCTATAAGAAACACGCATTTGGGCATTGAGATGGATCACTAGCGGTAGGTTTAAAACTAAATACGGTTCTTGTGTAATCGCGGTGACAGTTCGGTGGGATACGTGTTTGCCAAGTAGATAGTAGGGACACGTTGTGGTCTAGGTTAGTACCCGGGCATAGGTAGACAGTTCGATAGGATGCCTAAAGGCCTATGGATCTTGTGACGACGTTTTGAAGGTCAAAGTTTCGTAGCGCTTTTGGGTCATTAATTTTTAATATCTTGGCGATTAACGTACTGCTGGGCTAAAACCAAGCTTCAAGGAAAAGAGTGATGCTTATGCTTTGCTCTACAATAAGCAAAAAATCGTGAAGAAAGTGATTGCTACGCTGAGTATGCTTCATCATTGAATCACGTGTAAGAAGCCGCTTGAATAGAATGTATTATATAAGTAGTATGATCATCAAATGAATATTTTTCATATCTAATAATTGTACGATTAGCTAACTGCTTTACAAGTTAGACCCCCAATCAATAAGCTGTTTAGCACGATTTCTCACGAGGTGCGTGATACACGCAGGCTCGAAAAAACAACTATTCGGATGATGCCTGTACGTCAGCTATAAGGAGGCATAACGTGGTTTTACCTTGAAGTGAGTAACACATATGCATGGCCCAAACCGAGTGTTGTTCTCCTGATTTCATCAAGAAAACTGATCTGATGATATAGTCCAGAAATTCTAGATTTTTATGTCGCAATAGAAAAATGGGCCTTCAGTTTAAAACGTTTATACTAAAAACGAGCGTGGCAACACCAAGTTCCAACTGCTATCTCCATTCGAGATACAACTTATCACATTGGTGTTTTTTTTTCAGCGAGGCAGTAGGATTTGATTGGTTTTAACGTAGCATGAGATTATATTTTCATATGACGAGGCACCCTGCTATTAAAATGTATTATTAATTTTTCAAAACACTTGAACATGAACATCTGTATGAAAATCAGATTCATTCTTTGTCTGAATAATGTCGACGACGCGGTTTGTTCCACCGGAGACCGTAGTTGTAAAAGCCAGCTTTGGAAAAAGCTTTAATGCATTACACTATTTAACTATTACTGCAGTATAATAGCCATACCTAAGCGGAGTAATCGGTTGCCTCCATAGGAACTATCCTCATCGACACTGCGTTCGGCGCCTATTGGGTTTCTCATACAAAATACGTATATGCACAACGGCCGCACATGCTGGGACAAGTATAAGTGGACCCGTTCTACGTGTACGTACACGAACAAGACGTTGACTCTACACGACTGTCAACGAAAATGTTATTTATAAGAGTAATGTCGTCAACGGCATACCATAGAGAACTTCTTAATTTAACACAAGTTAACAAGAAAATATCGCGCTGATTAAGGGTTTGATTTATGAGACGGCGTATCTCCTCGTTTTTGATATCATTTTCGCCAATTCACAATCATCTTGATTAAATATGGGGGCCGCTATAATTTTACTATTAGTTAATTTTCGCGTTACGATGGTTAGACGTCGAAACAGTGTTGCTATTAATAGAGAGACGCTTTTTCGGCTCATTGGCGTGCCGTTGCTCCGCTGCTATATGACACGCAAACGTAGGTCACGTAAACGGATGAAATGGACTTCAAAGTACTTGGTAGACAAAGAGCAATTGAAGACGGCGTCCTGCATACACCGACATGTAATTTACTTCAATAGCTCCACCTAATTAATAATTAAGATACGTTAGCGTCCTCAACAGCTCTTCCTCAATGCTTTGCATTACGACAGAGTGTGAACTTAGCAAACAACAAGATAAAGCCTGCAAGGACAAATTCTGTAAAAGTGAATAGTAATCTGGTTTTGTCTTGTTCGATATCCGCTGAATAGTATAAGCACCCCTTGCATGATGTCACTTTCGTTGTTCTAGTCTTCAGAAGTTTGTATCTAGATTTAAAAGAGACACCATATCCATGTCACTTTAGATCTTCGTGGTCATTTTGACATATGATTGGTCGTTGGTTATAGCTCTAATTTATATGTGCCGTTAGAGGTAACACATATTTAGGATTTTTCCAACATGAACGTCATTGGAGCTTCTTCAAAAAGCCGACTCAATCGTGTGCCACGTATAGAATTTTGGAATTCATTATAATGGTGTTAACAAAGTAACATTAATCAAAGCCGAAATAACGTACCTGATATTTGTAAGGCTGAAATCTGAAAAGCCATACCATAACCATCTAGAAGCGATGACCGAGATACTGCTCGTAGCAAACGTCGCAACGATCGCTAGACGATTATATAATCCTCCTATATTATAAATTTGCACACTAATCAAGCTGCCCTCTTCTGTTACCTAGCTAAGTCTTCTTTGAAAAGTATCGAAACTCGGTATGTGCTTTGTTGTTTTGTTAATCAAGTAGCGCAGAAATAGATATTTGTTAAAATTTGATATTCTGAAACCTTCTCAAATACAGGTATACTTTTAGGTGATTCCCGTCAAATTTCAACAGAAGTGCTTATAGAACCTCAATCAAATGAGCCTCAAAAGGCGCCATTTACATGCGTTCTATGCAACAATATCTTCGAAATTGCAGTTTCGATTTCGCCCGAACATATAACGTTGCCGTTCGTACCCCCTACAGAGCCCCGCATATCTATAGTATGTTATATAATATTAGCAGATGAAAAAGCATTCAGTGCGATCAGCGTTAGAATTTCAACTATCCTCTTTATGAATCGCAGTTAGGGACCGTTAACACATTCCCTTTCTGCTTGACGCTACAACACACGCTGACGCTGGGTACCACACTGCCGGACTGTCACGCTTCGATGGCGGACTTGCTGTCTCTGGAGAAGTTGCGAACCTCATGAGGCTATTACGTAAAAGTGTGAAGTCTAGTAACGGTCGAATTATGACGATCTATGTAAACTGAATAGAAGCAGATAGAAAGAAGTTGCTATTACTATTATTATTATTATTTCAGGACCCATTGAAAATGCGTAACTTTTTCACGGTCACTAATGGTGTGCATGCTTGTCACTCCTTGACAATAGATTAACATTGAAATGACGCCAAATTATGTTTATTGTTTAAATGCTGCTCACTATCAGCTATTGGATTTGCTCTTCAGATTGTTAGGATCATGAAAGGTCTATCGTTTGTTAGCTTTAGCTGAAAAAAGGACTGTTT